TCGGATAGTAGTTCAGTCAGTTCAAATAAACAAACAAATTCTGCCTATTTATAATATTAGTATAGATTTTCAGTAAATTTGACCATCAACTGTAATAAATATTCAATGATTTACATAGTCATTTTTATAGATACTAATATTTTCAATCACTGAGTTTTCTCTAATTCGTAATTTTTAGACAAAATCAAGAACGAGAGTATTTTTTTTAAAAAAAATACCATTTCCGGGCCTAATAAAAACCGGTACCAACTAACATACAAATGAAAGTAGCACGGTCCTGTCCGTATATAATAATTATACTGTTTTTCTGTACTGTCTGTACGTATGCAGAAAGCGTGACGCCCGACTCACTTCCGTTTTGAAGATTGTACACGCAATATTTAACCTTAATATATAGTAAATAAAGCTCACTTTTCATTAACAATGACTACGTAATTGTACAGTCAGCAACAATGCAATTAAAAATAAAACGTTCAAACAATATTTACTTTTATATCAATTGTTTTAAAGGTGCATTTAGTTTATATGTATTGTTGAATAAAAAGCTTTAAAAAGTTGTACAATAGTGTTATTTGTATACCGAAGTAATGATTTTTAAGAAGTAATTACAATTACAGATTGGTTTAGTTCTTAACGCCTCGTTTCATAGCCTGGTCTAGATCTAGATAAATTAACTAAAAAGGAGGCGAACTATTGCGTATAAAAATATACCTAAATAATATTAACTTTAGCTTTGAGAAATTTAATCAGTAATTATAATAAAATTCTGAGTCGAGTCTGTACATTAAATATTTTTTGGAAAATCTTATTGAAATAGTCATTATAATCGATACAGAGGCTGAATCTATAATTATTAGAATTTTCGTTTGTCTGTCTGGGAACGCATCACGAGAAATCCACTGTACAAATTTTGATAAAATTTGGTATGATGATAGCTGGTTATCTGGGTGAGCATATAGAATACTTTTTACTGCGGGAACATAATATGTCATCTCTGAGAAATCTATAGTAAACATTAAAACGTAACTAGCTAATTGGAAATAAAAACGTGAGAATGATGTGATCTAGGCTACTTATTAAATTTATTCTTGAATAAAATTGTTATAACACAATATAAAAAGCCTTTTGAGTGTTTTATGTTATGTGGTAAAATCTGAACTTTCAAATAATACTTAAATTTGTTTTGCCTAATTCGTATGTTTAAAAGTATCATTTTATATTATCGAACAAATACCTATACTGAAATCGAATCTACGACGACTAATCACGACAATTACCACGTTAAAACCATTTAACCAGCAGTTAAAAATTAAACCTTTAATCAGAGTTTAAAAATCTATTCAACATATTATACTGTATAGATTATAGAAATACAAAGTATAAAACTGCAGCTTCCAGCGAATTCAAAACGTGGGATGGACGCGCAGGGAAAATAAATTGAAAAGCAATAGTCTATTCAGCTCCCACGGGACTAGTGATGTGCCATAAAATACTATTGATGGTGTCGTAGTGTACAATATGCTTTGGAATTGTGATTTTATTAGAAAACATATTTGATTGTGTATTTATAAAATAATGGTGTACAGACAGGTAGGTAGATGTTGTTAACTCTTACTCTGTAGATCATAATATGATCTTTAAATGAAATATATATTTTTTAATTACCTATGTGAATATAGCAACCCTAAATTAAATAATTAAAAATGATTAAAGCATAGCGACACTAATTATAATTATTACATTTTTTTTAAATATTGCACTTGTTGTAATTTATATGTTGCTTTAAATTAGAGACTCATTCAAATTCATTCAGCATTAAATTATTTTAATTTTTTACTGAATGTTATGTGTTCGGAAAAAAGCCTCGTTCCTCAAAAAAAAATGGCAAAAAAAACTCAGCGGGACAAATAATTTTTTTAACTTTTTTTTTAAATTACACTATTTTTCTAACGTTAAATAGCATAGAGGCGATCATATTATTCCCAAGTTATGTTGTTATCGGACTAATATTTTAAATACGAAATTTTGCATGTAGGTATGTATGTTTGTTACTCCTTCACGCTGAAATGACTAGACAGATTTGGAAAACATTTTATATACATATACAATATGACTTGGACTAGCAAATAAGCTACTCTTAAGCAACTAGGGATGCGCCATAGTTCATAGTCTTCTATATATTATTTATTATATACCCCTTAGCACATAATTTTTAAAAACAATATAATCCCGCATACAGCACATCACTAGGGTCAGTTTCAATTTAAGTCAAACAATAGCCAACGAGTGGTCTTCATTCATATTGTGTCGTATTGTTCCTGTGTTTGTTAATTTTAGCTTTGCTTTGTTTACTTCAATATATAAATGTTAATGGAAATTTGATAACGATTCTTTTCTCATTACATTTAATTTAATTCAAAATGTATAATATTATTATTATTACAGTTATGTAACAGTTGTTCATACAGCATTTAATTATTGCTCATTTACCAACTCGTTTTATTAAAACTAAAACTAACTGTTTTTTTAAATGATAGCACTTAAAAACATAATAAAATCGCTTGACAAGCAGAGAAGAAAATGGTCTGTTTAATCTTTGCCTACTTATTAGATTTCATATTCTAAAATTGCTTACCAATGTGAAAAAAATTGTGAAAAAATCTCATACTTGTTGTGTTATTATAAGTAGTAGTAATTAATATAAGTTACTACAAATTGATCTAATTTTATAAGAAAATACCAAAAAATGAATAGGAAATGAACGAAAACGACAAAAGGGAGTGTGTTATTTATGTTTTAAATAATACAATATCTATACTAATATTCGAAAAAAGTAGAAATTAAAAAATATATACAAATATATGTTGGTACATTAACACACATCACCATCTAGTTCCTTGGTAAGCTACGAGCCCTGTGTTATGGATACCAGATAGTTGATACACTGCACACTACACATATATAACTTTAAATACTATAAATATAATAAAAATATAAACACCCATGACTAGAGTACAAACATTCGTGCTCATCACACAAATGAATGTCCCCAGTGGGACTCGAACCCGCGACTGCTGGCGCAGTAAGTAACTGAACTGAGCCAAACGTGTCGTCATATAGCCTTTGATAAGATTAAAGTAGTAGTACAAAGTAGTGTAATCAACTAATTATATTAATTTACTCGCGAGTCGAATCTCTGGCACATTTGTGGTTAGCCGCTGCTTAACTGCTATCAAGACAGTTTAACTAAACCGCAGTTAACTTGCAAAGCCATACGATTACTTCAAATTAATAACACTTAACTACACAAACTTGTTAAGTATACTCGTATGACTGCCAGCGTTACATGTACCTACAAAGATTTCCTTAACATATTTAATTAAAATTTAACTGCCTCGGTGGTGTAGTGGCTAGCATGTACGGCTGCACACCCGGAGGTCCTGGGTTCGAATTCCGGGTCGGGCCAAGTTTAGTTATTGAGTCTTTCTGTATATTAAGCTTCAATAACAGCCCGGAGTTGGGAAGTTGGCGGTGTTTCACCTCCGTGCCTCGGAGAGCACGTAAAGCGGTCGGTCCTGCGCCTTAACTCTCACTGGTCGTGTCGAGTGGTCGTCCCACCGGAGTATGAGAGTGACAGGAATAGAGAGTGTACTTGTGTCTACGCATACACTTGTGCACTATAATATCTGTTACGCAGTTGGCTAGTCTCAATGATATTGGCCGCCGTGGCCGGAATCGGTCAGGAGAACATCTAATTAAAATTTTTAACATCTATTTTTTGTGTTATGTTACTTATTGGATATATAATTATTACGATAAGTTAAAATTGTTTTCTACTGATCGAATAGAAAATGCTATATTTGCACAGTACAGACATGTTGATATCTACAATCGATATGGCTTAGAGTAAACTAAATATCTGTTTAGGTACTATTAATAATATAAATGTGAAAGTCTGTGTGTATATTTTTATGTTTGTTATTTCTTTCTATTCTAACAAGAGATAAAACTATTCGCCAAAAATTTCAGGTTTAAATTATTTACTTCTGTTTGAAACACTTCCATAGAGGCAGTAAAATCAAAGAAAAAACTAAATTTCTAAAAAATTTCATCTCATTTTAGATCACCCCATAAAACAACAAGGTAAATACCGTTCTTATATCAGCGACAATAGCATGAATAACATATATAGAGTATGTACGTTCCGTTGACTGAACAGAGCGGCGCGTGCGCACACTTTGTGCACACATAACATCCATTTTACCATTGTTTCGTCTTTAGCTTATAAAATTACGCAATTTCCATCTTTACCGAGTCAGGAATACATTATATATCGCTATGGCAAGGAAAGCTCGTGCCAAAGTAATTGAAGCTAAGATTTTTTCACTACAATTGTATGTAATAGCTCAATTTAATAGCACCATAGTTTACCTAAAACCGTAGATTTGGCTGTAACTCCTCTTTGTTCGAATAGTTAAATTGTAGTCATTTTGTATTGTGTATACTTTGAGGTTAATATTTATGAGCATTACAGTCGAAATTGGTCTCAGAAACAATCATTTTTCATGAAATTAATTTTGGGGTTAGAATATTAGTATATACCTTCATATGTACATTACCTATAATAGGTAGGAAAGTAAAAATTGGCAAAGAAAAAACATGTAGGTATAATAAATAAATTGTAATCTTTCCATTTTGAGGTTTATTTTCAGAATGCCAACTGTAATGCATTTACTAAATATTGAGATTAGTTTAGCAGCTAAAGATAAAGAAACAAACAGACAGATATACCCATTTTACTTTGTACTAACGACTTACCCTCGCTTCATTCGGGTCCCTAGGTACGATTTAATTTTTTTGAGCGGGACACTACCGTATATAATTTCATATGAGTTATGTAAAAAGCTGCTACTTTGACATTACAAACAGACAGTTCAGTTTTATTTATTAGTATAAATTATTATATATTTTTATAGGGATAGGAAACAAAAACAACTTACCGGGATAGTATTTTAGAGACGCAGCCGTGGGAGACGCGTAGCTGTCGACTGATATCACAGGGTCTGACCCCACTATGAGCTAGCTCCACTATCCTTTGTCTCACGACGTCGGGTAAAGGCCGTCCGTTTACGAACACTCCGCCTAATTGATTCACACCGCCATGACCTGGAAGATTTTTTTTATTAAATCTATATATAGAATGTAGAGATGGTTTATGATAATGTAGTGCTTAAGAAGACTTAAAGTATTATTTTTTAGGGCAATTTATAAGATGCTGTTGTAAACTCTATTTGTTACATTTTTCATCCTTTCAAAATTTAATAGTAATGACTGTTAAAATTTAACATTGATTAATATATATAGTCCAACAAATATTATTTTTTATAATGTCAGCAAGACTATGTGTGCAGTTTTATTGATATCAAAGATAAGAGTTACAGAAAAAATATAAGCAATTTAATTAAATAAAGGAAAATTTCGTAGTAAAATATTTTTTAATTGTAAATTTTTATGTAGAGTATACGTATTTATTGCAAATATAAGATATTTTCAATCTGTACGACCGTGACCGGGTATCGACCGGGAGTACCCGGCCGTGTAGCGCGTCGGAGCACAACCGATCAATGTTACGAGCTCTTCTTAATATTTTGGCAAAGTAAATCGTGAGGTTTTTAAGACGTTTGTGACATATATTTTACTTAAAAACGCAATAAGTAGACTTTCGATCATTTATTCGTTGGTCTACAGCAGTTTCTTTCGTAGGCGATGGTAGAGTATGACTGTTAAATTTTTAGGTTTGATTGACTTTTAAATATGAACGTGATTTTTTAAGAAATATTAAAAATCATGAAATAAATTACATTGCCGAGGAAATTTTTAATATATTTTTCATATAACATTCTCAGGTGACATTTAAATATTATTTGCATAGAGAGTCAGACTTTTTTGCATATCGTATACGAAAAATTTAAACTTGAATTTTATATTAAGTTATGTCAAAAAGCTGAAAAATATATATACCTAGCTTTACTTTAACTATAACATTTATGATGAGATGAGAGGACTTAGCGACAGATCTGTTCTGGTTCTTATGTACGTATATTTAGTTTGCGTGTCAGGTTTCAATTCTACGTATAGTGGTTTCATCTTAGTTATTATGTAACATATAGCATGAAGATATTTAGCTCACAGCTTCCACTAGCCTAGTAAAAGATGACTCTATATCATGTCTCTACGTCCATTCTAATCTATACATATAATAAAATTGTAACCAAGCCGAATCTGTACATTAGATATTTTTTTTGGAAAATCTTATAAATAAACATTCTTATCGATACAGAGGCCGAATCTATAGTTTTTATATTTTTTGTCTGTCTGTCTGTTACCGCATCACAGAAAAAATACTAGAGGGAATTTCATAATATTTGGTATGGTGATAGCTGGTTATCCGGGTCAACATATAGGATACTATGTACCGCGGGGAAATATCTCATATCTAAGAATTTGGTTTTTGGTCATCTGAACGCGGGCGGAGCCGCGGGCAATGCTAGTATATTATAAATGCGAAAGTAAGTCTTTCTGTCTGTGTGTTACCTTTTCACGCTTAATCTACAGAACCGAGTTAGATGATTTTTTTTATGGAAATAGTTTAGGGCCCTGGGAAGAATATAGAATAGTTTTTATCCCGGAAATCATCCTTTAAAGGAGAGAAAAGAGGGGTGGAAGTTTGTATGGGAAATTAATCATTACGCATGTAAAGGAGATTAGATGCAAGGCACATAAAATGTAAGAGATATATAAAATATAATTTACTATGAATTTATTAGACAAATAGTAAAACATAGTATTTAATTGAATAAAAATCTACACAAAGCCACATTTTCCATGCACTTTCAGCTTCCAGATAGAACCTTTAAGACACCCGGGCGTGGGTGCGCGAGGCGTGACGATCGATCGGTTACGCCCCGTGCTCGCTCGATACCCGGTATAACAGGGTTTGTTTTCATCTCTACACATCGGTGATTTGCGAAAACTAGATGATATTTACTATTATTTTAATCGAAATTTAGGCAGTGGACTCTACATTTTGATGTAGAGTTAAAGTTATATTACATTTAGACATTTTAAGCTTCTCGAAATACATTTTAATTGATTTAAAAAAATGTTTTGTTCAGATTTATTTAATTACATTTAGATACAAGATAAATGCTCCCCATATTGAGTAGCGCAACAAAATTAATTTAGAAATATATAAAGCGAAAAATCTTTGAATTTTTAATTATTCTTTGCGTTGTCTTTATATTCTTTCTATTTAACTTTAAACGTAATGTTCTAGAATATAGCATACGTGTGTTATGTAGCAACTTTCTCTACATAAGTCGTTATTATATAAACAAACACGTTTTTCATGTACATAAATTGTACATTTTTATAATACCGTAAAAACATTCCAAAATGTTCAGTAAGAAGGTATTAAAAAGAGTTTCTAAAAAGTATTTTTAAAAATCTCTAAAAATATAGTAATTTGCACATTTTAAACATGTTAGCTGTAAAATTCTAATAAGATGTTATAAATCTGGTTACCCGTAAGAAGAAGAATATCAGAATATTCTTGCAATATAGTAACGTTATACGTTCATTTGTTTCTTTAATTTCGTAGTTTTGTATACTTTATATATAGGTAACTAGCGACTCATCCTCGCTCTGCTCGGGTTCTTCCCTAGGAACGTTTTAAAGGTTAGTAAAGATTTCTCAGAGATGATATATTTTCCCGGATAACCAGCTATCATCATACTAAATTTCATCAAAATCTGTCTATTGGTTTTCTCACGTTCCCAAACAGACAGAAAGGCAGACAAAAATTCTAAAAACTATAGATTTTATTATATGCATAGATAAAGTATTTAATATACTAATTTGAAAAAAGCCTTATAACATCCCTATTCATTAAGACAGGCATATTTCACAGAGAAGAGCACCTGCGAGTTTCCCGTGTCACAGCTTCCGGTACGCCATCTTGTTATTACAGTTAATTACTAGAGCGCTTAATTCATGTCTTAGCTTTATTTTGTCTCTACATTCATTATACTATGTTTTGTTCTTGGTTTTGCAGGAATTTAAGTTTCATATTAAGAATATCGAATATAATATACATATGAATATTGCTTATTTATTGTTATTGCAAAATATAATAATAATGATAAATCATAAAAATGCTATGGGTGGTGTAAAATATTCGTGATTTTTTTTATATTTATTTGAATGTATTTCATTTAATGTGAGCATAAAATGGCAGAAAATATAAAGTAAGGTTGCTCTTCATTGGATAGCTTTATAAAAAGTATTCTGCATTCAGCATAATATATAGACAAATATCATTATTTTTTTGTTGTTGTTTATCTTGTTGCGTACAGTGATGTATTTAAAGTTCTATTTACTAAAAATAATGTAATCCATATTAAATATCCATATTAATATTATAAATGTGAAATTGTGTTTGTTTGTTTGTCATTGGCGTGATATTTTGTGTGAAGATAGTTGGAGGGCTGGAGAGTGGCACAGGCTACCGCGGGAGATTATCTAATTCCCACGGGAAAACACGTTATAATACAATTCAAAAAATATATTTATAATCACAATTACTTGAAACTTGGTATTATTGTTCTTCAAAAAAATAAAATAAATACGTGTTTTAGCCCCTTTTTGAAATTCACCGTTTAAGGGGGTAAAATAGGTCATGAAAGTTTGTATGAAACTACCTTTTTAGAGTTATTTTTTGTAGTTTTAGAGAAAGCGAAGCCGCAGGTGCTGCTAGTTTATATTATAAAGCTGAAAACATAGTTTTGTTTAAATGTATCTTCTGTAGGCTATTAAAGTAAGATTATGAGCTTTCGCGCATCATGTTGAAGCCTTTAAAAGTGGAAATAAAATATTATATAATGAATTCGCGAACTTGAAGAAGGTCTGCGAACTCCAGACATATCAAGAAATATAGCAAAATAAACGCAGAAGTAAAAATCCTTATTACATATCAAATATACAGTAGATTCAGAGCTTAAGTTTATAATTTATAATTTCTATAATAATTTATTTGTTAGAAAGTAGCACAGAATCCACTAAAACAATCTGAAAGCTACACCTGGTGATCTCTCCCTATTTCCGGCGCGCCATCTTGTCATTACTGTTAATTGCGGAACTAGGAACAAGGGCGTTTAGATTTTTTTCAAAACGCGACTTTTTCTGAGTACCCTTATTTTAAAAGATGTTTCTTAATGAATAAGGTAAACACGGTTTTTTCTTAAAATTTCCATTTATTTAATGAAACGTGTTTAAATTAACAGCGAAATATAAAAAAATAAATCTCTTTAAGCTAAATCTTATCAAGAATAAATTAGAAATATATTGAATTATACATATATATGTAGGTACATACACCCTTAACGACTGAATAAAAAATCACAATTGTATGAATAATAATGCAAATGACATTACCAACAAATATAACTTATTTTTTCCTCTGAAATCTAATATTATAGGAAGCAAATGCGAAAGATCAGTGCTTGAGATATTCGTATTATAAATAATGTTGGCAATGAAATTTTACGTTATAAATGGCAAAATAATCAGTTGCACTGAGAAAATAATTGTTGCTAATATTAATTAAAAATATTTTATTTAGCTTAAAATTACTACAATTTTTTACTGAACGTCTTAAGTCTACCATCAGTTCGAAAAGAAATAGCCTAAGTCCTGACAAGAACTGGCGACCTAATCGAATATAAAGAAGAATAATTAAGTACTGCTTTGTTTAAAAGACCCAAATTAATTTAAAATTTGACGTTGCATATTTTAACATCATTTCGCACTTTAAATCCATAATTTAAGCATTTTTTGCGCATATTCGCATGTAATTTTTGACGCTTTAAATTACATATAAGTAGGCCCCTAACGATTACATTTATGAATTTGTCTTAACTAGACTGATGAGGCTAAAAATAAGACACATACAACGATTAGCTTTGTGCAAGAATCAAACCCGCGACTATTAGCATAGTACAATAGTTAAGGTGTAATAAGGGACCTGGCATGTCGTGAAAATAGTATATGCACAGGATAAAGTGGCTTTCTATTGATTAAATATTTGAGATGCTCTCTCCATCTCTTAC